GTCTTATGACTTAGAAAGAGGCTAATACTAGTTTATAGAGACAATATTGATACTGGTTGATTCTGTAAAGCTCTTCCACTCATTTAGGGAACCCATGAAAAACTTACTCTCCCAGTATATATCTCTCATGTTCCTTACATGTGTCTGAAATGCCCATTAGTGAACTCTTCAGCTTTAGGCATTCAAAGTACCACTATAATTCTTACTTTTCATGTAGTAGGAAAAGGCAAGTGTGGCAGGACAATTTATTTCTATACATTAACTAGACTTTAAGAAGGTGAGACATAGGATAATTTAGTTAGGAGATGGAAGTAGGATTTGGAACTGGGATTAATTTGGAACTAGGATTACACCATTCTATCTATAAACCAATAGTGCCTTTCAACTGCTTAATGAATTAATTTATTATAAAGATCAGCATTTGTAAAATGGATACTGTATATTACATAATGTTCTCTTATGATCCCCAAAGTAATTCTTACGATATAATTACTGTTTTCATTCCTATTTTGCAGATTAGGAACCTGAGACACAGTAAGGGTTAAGTCACTTAAAATTATTTTTGGAAGAAATGGTCTTTGTTCAATCTCAGTTTTTCCATGTATGTTGCTGAGCACAATTCATCATCCATAAAAGGTGCCCTTAAACTTAAAATATTTTTAATTGAATCAGCACATAGACTAGTATGAAACTAAGTTGTCTTAGACGGTAGCTTTTAGAAACCAAGGCTCATATAGAATCTCAGCGTGATTCATTGAGTCCATGGGCTCACCAATGAGCTTAGTAGTGATTTAAGGACACATGGGAAAAAGAAGTAGATATGCTTTTAAAGGCTTTATTTCATATCACCCACTGTTACTTTGAAAGAATAACAAAATTGGATAACTTTTAACCTAGTTTTATTTTTTAAAGGGTGTTAGGATTCTGAAATTGGTTACTAACCATGTCAGTTATTTTCCTAGTAATGACTTCCTCAAAAGTTTTATCATAAAAGTAATAAACTTTATTTAGTGATAATAAAATTGATTTGGCAGTGTTAGAATTTAACTATTATATTTAATTACATAAATCCAAGAACATCTCTTATGTACTTTGTAAGTGAATTATTTCTTTCATCTTCATTAATCTCTTATTTTACCATGTTTTTAACCAGGTAAAGAATTTAGGTTGGGGGGCTGGAGCGATAGCACAGCGGGTAGGGCATTTGCCTTGCACGCGGCCGACCCAGGTTCGATTCCCAGCATCCCATATGGTCCCCTGAACACCGCCAGGAGTAATTCCTGAGTGCAGAGCCAGGAGTAAGACTTGTGTATTGCCAGGTGTGACCCCCCCCAAAAAAAATAATTTAGGTTAAGACATATACTCATGTAGAAAGTCTATTGGGAAAAATCCTTAATTTTAGATATAAATAGTATATTGTCTCAGGTTTTGTCACAAATTCTGTCCTCTATTACTTTTTATTTTTGGTATTGTCAATGTAGTATGGCCAGAAATGAATTCTGGGAAACTTTGGCAAAAGGCCTTGGTAGGGTGGAGGAAAGTGAAAAATAAAAGTAAAAAGGCAGGTTTGAGTTTTTATGGGTTTAAGCAATCTGCACACTTTATTCTCCTTACCAGGTCACTGTGAAACTGACAGTGCAAATTGTAGATCTGAATCATACACAGAGGAACAAAAATGGTATATGTCTGTAGCAATAAAAATACAGATATCTGTAAATATATGTGTTTAAGAAAGATTGCCTAAGATTTACTAAGTCAGTCACTATTGGGGGGAAAGTGCTATCATCGTCCTAAAGTTGTGAATTATGAAAGACATTTCTGTTGGGTTGCAGAATGTCCCTTGGGGTTTGTTTCATTTATAACATTGCTTCAGGCCTTCTGCTGCATCCTGTTGGAATGACCTCCTTTTCAACCCTTTGCCGGCAGCTGTAATGGGGCTCTTTCCCCTGGATCCTTCAAGCTTGTCACATGACAGACATGAACTGTGACCCTTTTGTTCCTTACCAGATGACTATTTCTGTTGAACAATTTCACCTGATTTTCTTTCTTTGACCCTCTGCTTTTTTCCTTCTCACTGAAAATTCTTTCTGTTGCAATTAAGTTTTATTAGTATATAACAGAAGATGCATAAAAGGGTACAAATTATATGCCCACTGATTGAATTTTCACAGCACAAGCACATCAGTTTAGGCAATACTGCAATCAAGAAAGAAAGCATTACCAGAACCCCAGAAAACTTCTCCTATGCCTAATCTTCTTACCACAAAGGAAATAGTAATTTTTGGGGGGAGGGGGTGCTGTCGAGTATTAAACTGAACTTAGGGACTTATACATGCAAGACAAATACTCTAATTTTAAAACTGCATGTCTGTTTCAGAAACTGTAATCTTGAATTCTATAACTTTCCCATTTTAAAAAAAAACTATATAGACTTAAACTGTATATATTCCTTTGCATCTGTCTCTCTCGTCCCCTTCCAGAGACTGAACCCAGACCTCACATATGCAGGGCATGTACTCTTCTCCCGAGTACTTTTCCCAGCCCATCTGTTTCATGTAATATTTAATGATAGTCATCAGGTTACTTCGTTATTGCTGCATAATATTCCATTTGTATGAACATTCTGTAACTTTATGTTTACTAACTAGGTATTTGTTTTTAATATCTATGCTGAATATTCTTATATGTGTCATTTGTAAGTATGACATATTCCTTGTTATTTACATAGAAGTGTAATTAACATGATAGTATATCTGTTTAGTTACTTATATAATTCATGTAAAATACTCTATGATTTTTTACAAACTCTTAATAGGAAACATTTGTAAACATCTATAGATTCAGCTTCAAATATATTACAGTTTTTATTGTTTGTTTTCCATATTGGAGCCACACCCGGTGGTGTTCAGGGTTTGTGGTCAGGGTGAGATCAGACCTAGGCTGACGTTGTGTGGGGCAAGTGCCCTGCTGGTGTACTGCCTCTCCAGCCCTACACTTTTTAGTAGATGACTTCCATATACCAGGAAATACCTCTCATTGTCCTCTCATTGACACATATTATTCACTTTCTGAGGTGTTCTTTGTATCTGGCTTTCCAAAGTTAAGTTGGTAGCTCTTTTTGCAAAAATCTTAGAAATTTTTTGCAGGGAGGGTGATGGGCAGGAGAGTGCTAACCAGCAATACTTAGGGGTTATTGATCCTTAAAGGATTTCCCTCTCCAGGGCTAGAAGATAGCAAAATGCACTGAGCTTTCCATGCAGGAAGAATTTAGTCCTTTTGTCCCCGGTACTGCATATGGTACCTGGTCCTGGAACTGAGAGTAACCCTTGAGCACCAAAGGGCATGGCCCCAAAGCAAAACAAAGCAAAAGTGGATTTCTCTCCACTCCATTAAAAAAATGTGGTGAGTATGTGGTGATGGTAGTAGCATATACAAATTACTGTAATGCCTTGTAAACTAATTTCCATTATTTCTACTCCTTCTGGGCTGGAGCAGTTGCATAGGCAGTAGGATGTTGGCCTTGCATGTGGCCGACCTGGGTTTGATTCCTCCTTTCCTCTCAGAGAGCCCAGCAAGCTACCCAGAGTATCCTGCCTGCACGGCAGAGTCTGGCAAGCTACTTGTGGTGTATTTGATATGTCAAAAAACAGTAACAAGTCTCACAGTGGAGATGTTACTGGTGCCGCTCAAGCAAATCGATGAACAATGGGAGGACAGTGACAGTGACTACTCCTTCTGGGGAACAGGAACATATTTAAAATGGATCTTGGAATGTTAATAGATTGACCTGAGTTCCAGCTCCGGTTGCTGTCCGTCTGATCTTCAACAGGTTTCTCATTTGGTAAAAGAGAAACTTATTGGGATGTTGTGTCTCTCAAGAGGAGATGATATATGGAGGCAGGTAGTTTTTGTGGGTTTTGGAGATCCAGAGGCTGGAAAAGGGAAACAAAACAACTCACAGACACTGAATTTGGGGTGGAGATCCACAGCATGCTGTATCCTGGAGTTTCTGGGTGTTTGGGCTGGCATCCCAGCCCCAGCACAGGAAACCTCCTCAATGCTCCCAAGAAGCCAAACCTAGAATTTATTTATTCTAAAGAAATTTATTCACATTAATATTCACATAAATACAAGCCTATAGAAATAACTTAGGAAAAACAGTCATCATGTATTACTACTCTCACCCACTATAGCAAAAAAGGAGGAAAAGGAGAGCCCTACATAAGAATCATCTACATGCAGTAGGTGGAAGTGCCTAACACAGACTCAGAGAGTCTCACAGATGCTCAGGCACCTGTTCTTAACAGTAAGGAATCAACGGAGACTTGGCCCAGAGAGTTGTGGAATCTGAAGCACTTATGGCTTTTGTATGTAATTTTTGCAGTTGCATACCAAAAAACCACACACACAGTGTGCTTTTACAAATATACATAAATCAATGAAATTATCACCATAATCAAAAGAGTGACCACATTTATCACTCCCCAAAAAAGGAAATATAGTACTGCAGGTACAGCGTTTGCCTTGCACGCAATCGACCCGGGTTCGATCCCCAGCATCTCATATGGTTCCCTGAGCACCGCCAGGTGTGACCCAAAAGGCAAAAAAAAACAAACAAAAAAAGGAAATATTGGAGCATGGAGCTAACCCAGTGGTGAAGTGTCTGCTTTTCAAGTAAAAACCATGAGTTTGATCCCAGGCACCACTAGATGGGAAAGAGGGAGCTTATACTGGTTGGATGAGAAAGAGAAACTGGCCTGAAGTATGTAACAAAAATGGGGAAATAAAAATCTAGCCATGGTCCAGGTGGGAGAGAGAATGAATAAGGTCAAGGATTAGTGCAGGAGACTGTGCTGTAGGGCCTGAACTCACTTTATTATATTATTTCTGGTACCTAACTCAGAAACCAGAGGCCAGTGACAGGTTGAACTGACAAGTTTTCCCTTTACCCCTTTATAAATGATTATTTTAAAATTGTTTCTCTTTTTTATTCGGTTTAGGGCTTAAAAGATAATTTTCTTGCTTCTGGAACATCCAGCCTGACAGCCACCAAACAGTTGCTTCGTCCAAGAATCACAAGAGTCTGCCTCAGGGACTTGATATTCTGTATGGAACAGGAAAGGGAAATGAAGTACTCGCGAGCACTATACCTTGCTCTTTTGAAGTGACCACTCCACTCTCCATCCAGATCTTTGCTATTTACTGCCAAAGAAGACATAAGAAACATTGTTGCACTGTCCTAAAATTTCAGTTTCTAGAAAGTAACCATCAATATGGAAGATGATTGTTTACAGTTTTAAGCTTTATTATACCTATACCTGTCAAAGGGTTCATAATGACTAGAATTCAGCCTTGTCAATTGGTTATGAATGCAGTTCACAGAAATGGGCATCTACCTATATGTTTAATCCTACATATTAAGGCCCTATTTGTTACTCCCTGCTTCATTTGCCATCTTCACAGGTGAGATACCTTTTCCTAATACGACCTGCATTAAGACGCAGGGGAGAATAAGTGTCACTCCTTTCCAAGGAAAATATATCTCATCCTATAATGAACCTGTCTCAAAGGGTTAGGTTTTCTGACTGAAATCACAATAACGGCTCCAGAACCAGGAGCTGGTTATTGAAGAATAGTTTTCAAAGCCTTAGCCGTTGTAACAGTTACCTTTTGTAGTTGAAGATGACAAGCCACAGTATAGGTCTTGAGGTGACTGAGCCCCAGTGTTGTCAAAACCAAGACATGGGGGATAATTTGTGGCTAAGGTTTCTGTTCTCTGGTTCACATCACGGTGTGCTCCTTTACTCCCTCTTGTACTAAATGTGGATACATCCTTGTTGGGGGAATCTAAAATTGAATCTGTTGGGCTACTTTGTTGAAAAATAGAAGAGTGAGAAGTTTTAGAAGGAGTAATTAATTAGGAATAATGCTGCATATACTCAAGGGTGCAGTAGGAAATGGGAAGTCCAGAAACACTTGGTACATGTTTCTTGACAACAACAAAAGTCGTAGCTCAACAACAAAAGGAAATATAAGCAACATTTTCAAAGTACGGTATTGCAAAAGGAAGAAGAGTTCTTTTTCGCTTATGTATTGTTTTAAATTTCAGGTGGTTTTGTAAAATCTTTTAGTTACCGTAAGTTTTAAGTATCTCGTTGCATTTTTTAAAATTGTACTTGGTGGTTAGTTATGTTTAACAGTGAGACTTCATTTTGGATTCTATACTCAAAAGATGGTACTGGCACCTCACTCTTGGGGATCTTGGTTCTAAATATATGAAAAGCATGTTATACATATATGTATGTAATACTCATCTGAAGATGAAGCAGATGTTTTGCCAAGCAAAACATTTTTTTCCTTTCACCTGTGTGGCATGTAGCTGGTGAAAAATAAAATCATAATTCAAATCACAAAAGAATGTAAATCCTCCAAGAATTTTTTTTTATATATAATGGGAAAGCTGTTCTTAGAAAAAAAAATGGGGAAAACAGCTCAAGTATATTATTCTTCAACCTGTTTTTTCCATCAGAACTGTTACACCATATTCTGTAAGTTTTAAATTTGCCACAGTTTTTGTTTTACAGTTATTATGCTATAAATTATGTATATGCTGAGTACTTTAAGAAAGATATTGTTTTTGATATTTAAATGCTTAGCTTTATTTTTTGTAAAGCGCAGTATATGCTCATATTTGTGTATAATTTTATTGATGGATCGGATGTTTAAAATTATTTCAAATACTTCATTAAAATAATTATTTTATTATAAGAGTAGCTTTACTTGGTCACTTACTTTGAAAGCTATTCTTCAATAACCAGCTCCTGGTTCTGGGCCTCGATAGCTGATCTTGACTTTGATTAACTGTTACTTACTTTTGGGTTCCAGTACCTCACTCACATCCCAGTTACTGTAGCGCTCTTTGAAATCACTATGAATCTGTATGCTATTTGACTCAAAAAGAAAAGTATATTATTACAAAAGCTTTTCTTGGGGGTCAGAGTTCAATCCTATACGGTCCCCCGAGCACTGCCAGGAGAAAATCCTGAGTGCAGAGGCAGGAGTATCCCCTATGCACCACCAGTTATGGCCCCAAAATGAAAATAATAATTATAATAATTTTTTAAAGCTTAGCCTATCAAGGTTTTCTTAATATATCCTTTTTCAAAATTAATTTGCACTGCCAATGATTAAACATAGGTCCCATGTGTACAAGGCTTGAACTTTACCATGGAGCCACATCCCTAGCCTAGTCACTCTTACTCCTGAGCCCTTTAATAAACCTTTATTATATCCCAGCCCTTAATAGCAGTTTTTGGAGTGGGGGGTGGAGTGCAGGAAGTTGCTCCCAGGCATTGCTTCATTGCAAGGACCTGCTTGCTAAAAGGGTACACCCGTTTTGGACTCTACACAAGTGAAAAGCATGCCATGTGCTCAGGCCCTCCAGTGCCAACAATTCCTGGACCACCCTGACAGTACTGGGGATAAGAACAGTTTTTTATTGAATATGTTATAGAAGAGATTTAGAAAGTCCAGAGCCCATATCATCAAATTCTTCAAATTCTTTGCTTGAATAGCTGGGGCGGGGGGGGGGGGGGGGGCGCGGGTGGGAAGCCTGCAGTACCTCCAGCTGGTTCCGCAGCTAAACCTGGGTCTACCAGCACTTGCACTGCAATGAGACTCCCAGCACGGATACTGAGCAGGACTGCAAACAAGCATTTACACTAGCTGCTTTAATGAGGACCTGCATCTGCCCTCACTGTCATCGTATTGTACCCAGTAAGCATCACATAGATACAGACAAGCTTTGAAACTGTCCATGGTGTAGGAGCGTGTTGGGAAAGAAACTGCAGGGAACGTTGCTAGTTACTACGATGAGGGTGTCATCACCATGTGATCTTAACAGCCTTAGAAGAATCTAAACCCTTGAGTGTCAGCTAAGGAGAGGCATTCTTATATTCTCTAAAACTCGGTCATGAAGTTTATCTTCTACACAGAGAAAAAATAGAGTTTCCAAGGTATTCTTCTCCATAGTTGGAAAGTGGTTAGTTCTGTAGTAAAATTAGATGTATAAATTAGATGTTCTTGACCAATACAATTTTCCAGTGTCTTATTCATAAAACTTTTCACTTCTTTTGAAAAATGAGAAGATACAGAATCAGATAAATACATCATAACCTTTTGAAAGGCAGTTCACTGGAGTCAGTCGATGAATGTCCACTTTAGTTGTGGGAAAGATTTATCTTCTCTTGTCTGATGGGGCCACCTATGGTGGTGGTTAGGGCTACCATAAGGTCTGTGGCCAGGTATTGATCCCAGCTATGCTCAGGGGACCATGCCGTGCTGGTGTCAGGCATCGAACCCAGACAAGTTGCATGCAAGGCGAGTGCCTTAGCCCTTGTTCTCTCTGGCCCCTAAGGAATATTTTAAATTTAAAATTCGTTCGTGGTGGCTGGTCCTGGAGGTCTTCGGCTGCCGTAGCCCTGGTCGGGGCGGGGAGGAAAGCTCAACCCGCTCCCCTCCAAGGGACTCCGGGAAGGAACACCCAGGCGCGGGGGCAGAGACTGCACTGCTCTCGTCCGGGATCTGGATTTTATAGTCTCTGAGTCTTGGCCGCTGATGGGATTACACGGCGCCAGGGGGCCAGGTGGTGGGTGTGACCCCCGCCTACTGGAATTTGGAGGATCTGGGTGGAAGATGCTCGACTCCAATTCGAGTAGGCGTGGAGGTCTCTGCCCCGGAACCCGCGTGGCTGTGTTCCTCTGCCAGTACCTTCATGGGTGCGGAGAGTGGTCTCAGCACGGTGGTGGCTGGTCCTGGAGGTCTTCGGCTGCCGTAGCCCTGGTCGGGGCGGGGAGGAAAGCTCAACCCGCTCCCCTCCAAGGGACTCCGGGAAGGAACACCCAGGCGCGGGGGCAGAAGACCTCCAGGACCAGCCACCACCATGCTGAGACCACTCTCCGCACCCATGAAGGTACTGGCAGAGGGACACAGCCACGCGGGTTCCGGGGCCGAGACCTCCACGCCTACTCGAATTGGAGTCGAGCATCTTCCACCCAGATCCTCCAAATTCCAGTAGGCGGGGGTCACACCCACCACCTGGCCCCCTGGCGCCGTGTAATCCCATCAGCGGCCAAGACTCAGAGACTATAAAATCCAGATCCCGGACGAGAGCAGTGCAGTCTCTGCCCCCGCGTCTGGGTGTTCCTTCCCGGAGTCCCTTGGAGGGGAGCGGGTTGAGCTTTCCTCCCCGCCCCGACCAGGGCTACGGCAGCCGAAGACCTCCAGGACCAGCCACCACCATGCTGAGACCACTCTCCGCACCCATGAAGGTACTGGCAGAGGGACACAGCCACGCGGGTTCCGGGGCCGAGACCTCCACGCCTACTCGAATTGGAGTCGAGTATCTTCCACCCAGATCCTCCAAATTCCAGTAGGCGGGGGTCACACCCACCACCTGGCCCCCTGGCACCGTGTAATCCCATCAGCAGCCAAGACTCAGAGACTATAAAATCCAGATCCCGGACGAGAGCAGTGCAGTCTCTGCCCCCGCGCCTGGGTGTTCCTTCCCGGAGTCCCCTGGAGGGGAGCGGGTTGAGCTTTCCTCCCCGCCCCGACCAGGGCTACGGCAGCCGAAGACCTCCAGGACCAGCCACCACCATGCTGAGACCACTCTCCGCACCCATGAAGGTACTGGCAGAGGGACACAGCCACGCGGGTTCCGGGGCAGAGACCTCCACGCCTACTCGAATTGGAGTCGAGCATCTTCCACCCAGATCCTCCAAATTCCAGTAGGCGGGGGTCACACCCACCACCTGGCCCCCTGGCGCCGTGTAATCCCATCAGCGGCCAAGACTCAGAGACTATAAAATCCAGCTTATCAGGACATCTTTTTATGACATCTTATTATCTCATTCCTACTTTGGACAAACTTGCAGGCTATCGAATGTAGCCTGCCCACAGGGCAGAGTCTGGCAAACTCCCCGTGGCCTACCAAATATGCCAAATACCAGTAACAATGATGGGTCTCATTCTCCTAAAGAGCCGTGAATATAATCTCAGGGCTAGGATGAAAGAGACGTTACTGGGGCCTGCTCGAGGCAATCGACGATTAACAGGATGATGAAATGAAAAAAAAAATGAAATGAAAATTCGTTCATGTGCTTGAGGCCAATCTCATCCTGAATCCCAGCACCACATATGGTGTCCCAAGAACCATTAGGGGGTGACTTGTGAGCACAGAGCCAGAAATATCCCCTGAGCCGTGCAGGTGGGACCCAAACCTTCTCCCTCACTACTCTTTGCCAAAACAATTCACCAACTAATCCTCAGAGGGGAATAAACATTTCAAATACCTATCCTGCTGTGTTTGCCTTATTTGTTTGTGTAATGCATCATTCACTTTTATTTATTTATTTTTTATATTTATTTATTGAATCACTGTGGGAAAAGTTACAAAGCTTTCAGGTTTAAGTCTCGGTCATGCAATGATCAAACACCTTTCCCTTCACCAGTACTTATTTTTCACCACCAAGAACCCCAATATACCCCCCACCCCTCCCAATGACTTTGAGGCAGATGAATTCTACTTAATATCTACTTTGATTACATTCATTATTTCGACAAAAGATGAACCATTATTGTTTAGAGTTTACACCCAAAAATCAGAACTGCTGAAAAGGCATTGTGAAATAATTTGTTTTCTGTAGCTGGTTATGAGAACCATATGATGTCACGCGGCCACTATTGCAGCTGCGCGATTTTGGATTTCTGGTATTTTACTTATTGTCTGGAGGGATTTCTGCCAAGAGCCAGATAATTGCAAGATTTGTTTCTGTGGCTCTGGAGCCATGGCTGTGCCGGAGAACTGCTCATGGGGGCAAATCATGACCTCAGTAGGGCGTGAAGGACAAGCGGGGAACACCCCCCTTCCCATGAGGTTGCAGTTGCCCCATCACCACCGGCTCATGCCTAGCTTTCTAATAAGTTCCGAGGCAGCTGCCATCTTGCTGCCCGAGGTGGGGGAGGGGGGGAGGCAGAAGGGAGCAACACCCCCTCCCTCCCGGGGAGGCATGGTACCGTGGATTAACGCATAGTCCATTCACTTTTCTGCAGCAAGCTGCCGGGCTCTGCATTAAGTCCTTGTGCCTCTGGAGCCATAGCTGTGCATCATTCACTTTTAATATGACTGATTAACTTTTTATTTTAATTTTTTGGGTTGGTGGGGCACACCCAGTTGTGCTCAGGGGCTATTTCTGCCCTCAGGAATCACTCCTGAAAGTGGTCTGAGGACCAAGTGGTATGCTGACGATTGAACCCAGGGTTAGCTGCATGCAAGGCAAGTGCCCTATCCACTGTGCTATTGTTCAGGCCCCTGATTAACCTATTAATTGTGCCCTACTGAACATCTTTCTCCTCTTCTTCAGGCACAGTCGCCAAATAAGAACAATTACTAGATCTAGAACCCAAACCTCCAGGGTAAAATTTCTAAAAATTTCTAGGGAGTCTGCAATAGTTTTGATAGAATTGTGGCCATTATTCTTTTATAATACCTTACCACGTAAAGAGCCAAGGCAAAAACCATTTTTATTTTGCCCTTCAGGGCAACTTTCACTTTGCCCTTCAGGACAAGTAGAAATTCTTCAAACAAACCTGTGAAGGCACCGGAAATGTGGCCTCAACATCACTCTGAACAACAGATTTCCAAAGAGATCTTTTTTTGTAGCTATTTCAGAATTCCCTGTAGCTAGTATCTCAAGTCTACC